GACGATGATGATGACTGTGGTGGTCCAGGTACCAGTTTTTTTAAACATACAGGTATGTGTTTCAAAATTCAATTTATTTACGTGCCTCATTACAGCTTTTCCAAAGAAAAGTACAATGGAATTGATTCTTAATCTATTATGAAAATCTCTTTGGCAATTAATTCCAGCTTTGCGCTTAATATCTAAACTATCATCGATCTCCAAAACTAATGGAAAGAGTGTGTCACCCTGGCCATTACTGGGGATCACAAAATCCTTCAACAAACTAAGGATTATGTCATCTTTTTTTTCCCAGTTTAAGAAGCCCACTATTTTTTGATATCAAAGTTGTTTTCATGGGAGGTGAATTTTCCTGACAACCAACAAAAAGGCCACCATATATACGAGCACAGCTACTGAGGTTTTGAGAGATACACACACTCATGCATGTTAAAAGCTGTTCAGTAAGGTCCCTCGCGGTCGGAGGTGAATGTGAGACTGTTCCTTACGTTTTAGACTGCAAAACAATCCGTATTTTTGCGTATTCAAGTAAGCGCGAGCAGTCAAAAAAAGGTCTGGAACGAGGCTGAAAACGGAGAGTGAGACTGGGGAGAGACGCTAAAATACGGACTGTCCGTTTTGCATACGTTATATTCGTTCGAATTACCCGCTTCTCTCTCGCCTCACACCCCCGTAAGAGCTCTTACGCCACGCTTTACCGATTTCTTTACTGATTTTGAGAAAAGAAACGACTGTTTTGCAGTCTATTACGTTTAAACAGGAACAAGTTTCTGTTCTTGGGAATAAATATGTTTTGGGCCCTTCTCAGAGCTCATTTTAACTGCCTTCATTAACGGCTCTGGCCAAAATGAGGCTGAGTCGGGCCCAAAACATATTTATAACGACAAACATAAACCCTATTGTTAATTTGATCAAAAAGGGTTTACTTAGCTTTTTCTTTTTCCTTCGATGCCGCAAATGTTTAGGACGAAGTCTATGGGACGCCAACACTGTCACATGTCTTCCGATGAGTATTATATGCATTCGGGACACCATTATATCTAGTACTCATACCTTTATGAGCGGTTCATCAATGAACATATTGACATATTTTCCTTATATATGGAGTCTATTAACAAATATATTGCGTGCCTACTGTGATATACGTAGTGTATTTTTCATTATATCGCGTGCTTTTGTCGATATGCACAATGCACGTTTTACTATGTGTTGTCAAAACTTCGTTATATGTGGTTCATTTTCTTATCGTTTGGCATTACGTTCACTACGGTTGACTGCTTGTGGACCTTAACGCACCATTGACCTCCAGCAGCAATGTTATGAGCAGTACAAAAAGTTTGATGAGCAAACTTTCTGATGATATACCCACAATGCATCGCAGGAATGTTAGCTTCCAAGCTCCCTCGTTTCCTGTGACCCCGCCATTTTGGAACAAAATGGAGTTCATCCTTCAAAAAGTTGGGCTTTCAACGCTTTCCAAGCGATTTGCAGATGAGAAAATCGACCCACACGTTATTCTGGCGATGTCAGACAGCTGTCTGATGCGTCTCGTGTAGAGACTTAAGGGGACCGCGTCAGCCTCAAAGAAAATTGCAAACAGTTCGCTGATGGAGAAAGGCGAACAAATGTGGCTTCCACCACAGGTAACCCAGGCTCTGTGATAGTACCACAGTACGGTTCCAGTAAAATTTAATACAGTGTTTGTATGGGGTAAAAATACCATCCTAAAATTTCTAGGAAATACTAAAAAAAGTTCAATGAAACTTATACTCTGCAGTTAATTGTTGTTGTCCTTATTGCAGTAATTTGTTCAAATTCACTCTATATATAATAATAATTTACAAGGTAGGAAACACGAGATGCCATTTTCACCGACATGCTCTCATTCAACACAACTTTTTCCACGAAATTCGAACTCCAACGGAAAATAAACATGCCAGGATAGTAGAAATAGGATAGCAACAGTTATAGAAACCAATTAAGGAAATGTGGTAATCTACCCATCCCAGAAAATTTGGTAATCACGTGACCGTACACCGAGCGAGCGATCGAGCGAGCGACCGTCCGTCCGCACCACAGGCATACCAATGTAAAATAACTCAATCAACAGGTATGGGAAGCCAAATGCAACTCAAGGATTTATTTGGAAGGAAATCACATGGCCGCCCGGACTTTTAGAAAGAAAAAAGTCGTGTCTTTTTCGGCGTTATTTTTTATGTGTACACTAACGTGGATAACAGAGAAAGAGCTAGAGCGAGTTATTGAAAATTCGTAGGAAGAAAAACATGGAAATTCAGAGCGGCGGTGAGAAAATGAGAAATGCTAGCGGCCAGCAAGGTGAAAATGAGCGGCAGTGAAAAATAAAAGCGAACACGAACACTGGAAACAAAATATTGGGTAAGCACATACGACAATTTCTCCATAAAAATAGTGTGTAACTAGGAAGTTTGACGTTTTAGTCGTACAAAACAGCGTTGTAGTCGTACAAAACAACGGCAAGGGAAAGACAAAAAAGCGTGCTGCACGTGCAAATTTGTTTTTTGCTAATTAGAAGAAAAAGTGTGCTGCACGTGCAATTTGTTTTTTTGCTAATTAGATCTATTAGTCTTGAAGCCATTTTCATTGTCGTCCCCCGTTTAGCATAACAAGATTTAATTTTTTTTAGTTTACACGTATTATTAACCAGAGCTTCGCTTTTAGCCCTGGCTAAATCTATATATTACCCCATACAAACACTGTATTAAATTTTACTGGAACCGTACTGTGGTACTATCACAGAGCCTGGGTTACCTGTGCTTCCACGAGCTCTGGAAGGAAGACGGTGCTTAAAAGAATACATGCTGGTGTACTTGCATGAAAATCACGATGGAGATTGTGTAATATGCAAATAAGGAATCTAACAGGCAGGTCTGCCTGAATATTAAACAAACAGAGGGAAAGACAGAATTGAACACATTTATATTCTTGCTTTGGATAGGCCTTTCGCAAAAGTTGGTCTTGCAGTTGGTCTAATATTTGGCTTTTGGAAAATTTGGTTCACAGGAACTGAAAAAGCATGTTAAAATTAGGTAACCTGTAAACTTTCAGCCGTATATGTCAAAGGTAGCCATTGCCACCGACGGTCACATTCGACTCGTCTTCCATACAAGTCCTTGTAAATTTTTATATCGTCGCCCCTTATGCATCGAAGAGCTCAATTTGTCAGTCTGTTGTGAAAAAAGAAAAGTGTGCCCCATAATGCTGAAGGAAATGTTTTAAGACAGTTCAGAACATTTCGAAATTTGTGTATGGAAAATCACTCAATCATGACTAAATGGCACAAGTTGTTTTTCCCATACAAATCCTTCTAACTTCCGGCAGCCACCACAATCGCTACTTTTGAGATATTATATACGGCTGATAATTTTCAGGTTACCTAATTTTTAATATGTTTTTCCAAAAGAGAAAACAGATTTACAGAAAGCTGCTTATGTAACCAATCATTGAAAAAAGCTTGTTGGATCTCGTGAGGGTTTTTTTTTTTAATGACAAAAAGGGATACACCTTCTTTAAGAGTCTTCCTTCTGCAGTGGCACAATTTTGCCGTATGGACCGTATGTAATTCTAGTTCAGTATAACATCAAAACAAAATGTTTATGAGGTGGATTATTGTAGCTGCAGGGTTAAACATTAGTAATTTCCTGTCAAAGTTTACTTTGCTGTACGATGTTTGTTATTTTTTACACGTTCACTTCATTCAGTAGCACGTTGGGTTAATGAAAGCCATATATCTTTTTGATGCTCAGTTGTCCATCGGAATTATTATCTTTGTTGTGAATTTCATTTCCTTTGCTGTTAGGCATAATGGCTTTTAACAAAGGAAAATAAAATTTAAATTAAAAAAAATAGGACATCATAACTTTACTGGAAGCTAAAACCAGTGGTTTCTTACATGTCAAACCCTCAACCATTTTGTGTGATGTGCTCTTTACCATTTTCCTTAATTGTGTTTTTTGTAAGAAAGGTTTTGAGAAGCCGTGGAAAGCATTTGCATTTATTTAAAGATTGGTTGAAATCAGGGGGAACAAAACAAGATAATATGGACTGACTAATTTGTTTGTGATTTTATTGTTCTGGTGTAGATCGAAATAGAAATTACATCACCGTTTCATAGCATAAATATTGTTCCTTGCAACACTATTCTATTTAGAGTATTATTATTTACCTGCATGACAAAGGTTTGGCATTTACAGTTAAACGTTCAAGTTTTAATAAAGACAACGTTCTTGACTACGGTAAACAAATTTTGATTTATTTTGTCACTTACATCGTGGGACGGTATCATATACATTCGATTCAGCAGAAACCAGTTTCCCAGTTGGGGTAAATAACGTTCTTAACAATGTCCATAGCTTACATGAAGAGTAATTTCAACCATAAAGCGAAACGCTGATAAAAAACTGAGAACTAACTATATACAATTGTCTTCAACCTAGAAAAGTAAAGTGCATTTTATGATTTACAATGATAGACAGGTATTCCAATAACACACACACACACACACAACCTAAACTAACTTGACACTACTCAATGAATCTGATGAAGTCCCTGATAAGGCAATGGTTGTCATATAATTTGTTTTTACATGCACGGTCACATAAAAATTGAATAGGGGTAATGATAGTTTCTTCAGGCGTTTGCCAAGCACTTTTTGCTAGTAATGCAAACCTGTGTCATTTTTATGATTTTCCTTACCCGCCAACCCTAGCATAGTCTCCTCCCCAGCTTTTTAACATGAAATGGCTAAGGTTACATTTTGGTCCTCTTATTTGCTTTGTACTCGCAAATCATCTGCCATTTGCATCTAAATTCTCAATAAAGCCCAGCACCGTTAAATATACATCTATCCCATAGTTTGAAGATGTCCAATTTGAAGGGACTTGATTACGTCAAATCTCAAAGCATTGCTCACTCAAAGCACCTGGAGCCTCAAGTATTGGGCGTCTATCCTCAACTCTCTCTTCGTCCAACACTCCCTCAGCACCATAAGATTGGAGCTCAGCACTTGACAGCTCAATGACCACTGGATTCTGTAGCTGGCCAGAAACCCAAAGGCGAATCGGAGATTTTACGGTTCTCATGCAATGTCTGGACCATGCATTTCTCCACAACTCTAGTTTTTCATTAATCTTTGGTAGGTATACATAGTGGAGTACAGCAACATGAAGGGTGTTAAATGGGTCTAGCATTCCTTCGTCTTCAAGAAAGTAAAACAATTGATAATACATGCTTAGAACTCCTCATAAACATCCCTCCACAGTCTGTCGATTCTCTGGTTGTGTGCTTTTGCCAGTGATCATGCTGCCCCTATTTATACCTCTTCCCGTTAACATGTAATCAGCTACTAACACGTTTTCCCCTCCTTTATCTGACCTCACTCTGCTTGGGAGGCCGTAGTTTTACACACCTTTCAAAAAACATTCAAGCACAGTCTCAGCCTTGTTATTGCTTCTACATTCTAGTGCCACTGGCAGACGACTAAATCCATCAATCGCACCAAAAACTACAAAGTACCACCGCACCAACTTGTGATTCGTGTCTATATGCCAAAGGTGATTAGGTCCCTGTACATCGTAGACGCGTCTATGCAGGCGCCCTTGTTTCCTAGCATTTACTCCATCTCCGTTCACTCGGTGCAAACTATCTCTAATACGCCTCCTTTGCACTATAATCCCTTTCTCGATCAGGAATTGCTTGATTAAACTTTCTCCGCAGTATGGAAAATCTTCAGTAATGTTTTCAATGTGCTGATCTGGTTCCGAATCTGCAATGTCTGTGAAATCTGACTCGCTTAGTCCAAAGAGACTCATCCTGTGGTAAATAGTACTTTCAGAAACAGACAAAATAGTAGAATTTTCTTTGATAGTGAAACCGTCCCCTAACAAATTCTCAAGAATACACTTAGGAATGGAGAATGATGGTGCTACACAAGTTGCTTTGACTTTCCTTGGTGCTTCTCCTCCAAACGTTGCTCACTCGATTCTGAGAGCCATCATGTCTCTTCGAGAGGTTAACCCTAGACTTTCTAGCTCTTGTACTGAGAGTTTACAAACAAGATCGGGTGTTATTTTTTTCTGCTGAAATTTCTCTTCTAGATCTCCCAGATTCACTTTCTTTAACACAGATGACATCATGGAAACGGCCATTATGAAAAAAAAAAACTCACGTATTTGAGACATTAAAAAATGGCGCGGGATCAAAGGAAACGAGGGAGCTTGGAAGCTAATATTCCTGCGATGCATTGTGGGTACATCATCAGAAAGTTTGCTCATGAAATTTTTTGTACTGCTCATAACATTGCTGCTGGAGGTCAATGCAGCGTTAAGGTCCACAAGCAGTCAACCGTAGTGAACGTAATGCCAAACGATAAGAAAATGAACCACATATAACGAAGTTTTGACAACACATAGTAAAACGTGCACTGTACATATCGACAAAAGCACGCGATATAACGAAAAATACACCACGTATATCACAGTAGGCACGCAATATATTTGTTAATAGACTCCATATATAAGGAAAATATGTCAATATATTCATTGATGAACCGCTCATAAAGGTATGAGTACTAGATATAATGGTGTCCCGAATGCATATAATACTCATCGGAAGACATGTGACAGTGTTGGCGTTCCATAGAAGTCACGGTTCGAGGTTGTCCGTTATAGTGAGAAGTGATGCCATTTGCTTTTATTGAAATGAGTGGAAGAAAATTGATCGCTCTTTTTTATATACAAATCATGTCCAGTGAGTACAAAATCAGCTATTACAGCTTATTCTTAAGTCGTGGCACAAGCCGATTAATAAAATTTATTTACAAAGAGATAAGAATTGCTCTTACTGAAAAGAAAAAAGTAAAAACAACTTGCTTAATAAGGAACACCTGCAAACCATTAAGCTGAAACTTATGTCATGTTAGACACCTTTCAAACGTGGAATTTTTTATGAGTGCCGAACACCTATTTTAGTCGAAGAAAATAATTAAAGACGGCAGTTGATTCAGACGTCGGATATAATGGTGCCGAATTTAAATCCGTTTGTTTAAATATCCCCAGTCTCTAGAGAAAATTGTTACCCATTATGGATAAGGGTTTCTGTAATTAATACATTATATTTGGCACATGTGAAAAGCGACTTCTAAATCAAATGTTGAACCTAAGTCGAATTTTCGACTGTAATTCAGTCGCAGATTCTGCAAAGTCGTATTTAATTTGGAACTGTTGATTCAGACGTCGCATCTCGAAGCAGTTACCTCTCGAATTAAACTAGACACATATGAAATTCGACGTTTGAACTCGGTAATAGTAAAGTGTCTAGTATTACTATAAGTACCTGTAGATACGCTATGATGCATACGGCATTTTTTATATTCATGTAAATTTTACTTTCAATTTACCACATTATGTTACTAGCCATATGCACTACACAGGTAAAAAAGAGAGTAAAAAAGAAAGGGGGGGGGGGGTCCGAATCCGGACCCTCCAAATACGTTAGAACTGAAAGGAACGCCTCTATCCACAGCCTCGTACCCAGGCCAGTTCGCGCAATCTGAGTTACACATCCGAAATCGCCGAGGACGACTGGGAACTTTCTACCGCCTTGGCCATCTCGGTAAGCCCTGACAATTCAAGTTTAAAAGAGGTATATATTCCTTCTCTATGGAGATCGACAGTTTTCAAGGATGTTTTTTTTTCGGTTACCGTGTAGAATTAAATCTTTAACTGATCGAAACTATAAAAAAAAAATAGACAAATCCATTAATACTCTCTCAGGCTTGGTCCATGCCGGGGAACGTTTAAGAAGTTTATGAACTATCGATCTCGCGGCTACCGACTGAACAGTATGACCGCACGATTCTCTCCCTACTCGTAAGGTGTCTTTTCATCGGTCGGGGAAAACCTTAACACAACATTGTTTATCATTATTTCCATAATTGTTTTAGGTTAGGGTACCAACCATTTGGCTTTTAGTGTCAGAAGAGCTGCTACATGATCTGTCTTCCCAGAATGAAGAAAAACAATATGGCCGCCAAATACATCCTTTTAACTTTGAAATTCCTCCTTTATTAACAAACGTTGAACATTTATTTCGGCAAAGAAGCAGTTAAGTTGAAAAAGCATTTTACAAAAGTCTTTAAGTAGGTCTCCTTTTCGATTTTAATTTGCTGCTTTAACTTTCCTGCAAATTTTCTCTGCCGTGTGATGAAACGTCAACTCTCTACAGCCCTCGGCCTAGTTTCCCGACTTTTTCGCTTATGTTCATTGCCCCCTTAAATTTTAAATTTCGGACGTAAACTGGTTATTTTTGAATGCTCCACACAACCAAACCCTCAAATATGCTATTTTATTTTAACCCAGCGATGAAATCTTGTCTCAGCAACAAACAACCCTAATTTAGCAATGGTCACATGACTGATGACGTCATCACCTAATTGTGACACGAGAAGATATTTTATGGCAAATGTTATCTTGTTGTGGTCTGACATTTTTCTACGTATAAAATTGTCAACGTTATAAAGCTTTCAAAAAAAATTGCTTCAAAGGATTCTGGGATAATTTTATTATTATTGTTATTACAAGTGATACAGGTAAAAGTAAATTATAATTATTTTACACTAATATATAAAGCTTCGAGTTTAAACCTGAAAATAAGTTTATCAAAAAGGATTAGCTTTTTTGTCTCTCTTCGGTGCCGCATATTTATACGACAAAGTCACGGTTCGAGGTTGTCCGCTATAGTGAGAAGTGATTCCATTTTCTTTTATGGAAATGGATGGATGAAAATAGATCGCCCTTTTTGATACGCAAATCATGTCCACTGACATACAAATCATGTCAAAGAGAACGTAAAATCAGCTATTACAGCTGATTCTTATGTCGCGGCACAAGCCGATTAATAAATTGGATTTACAGAGGGAGGTACGAAATGCTCTTACAGCCAGCGGGTAAACCACTAAGCTGATTATGACATGTTAGGCCTCTCTCAAACGTGGAATTTCTTATGAGTGCCGAACACCTATTTTAGTCGATGAAAGTTATTAAATACGGCAGTTGATTCAGACGTCGGATATGACGGTGCCGAACTTAACTCGTTTAATTTGTTGTAAATATTCCCAGTCTCTAGAAAATTTTTGTATCCAATATGGATAAGGGTTTCGATAATTAATGCATTATATGCGGCACATGTGAAATGCGACTTCTAAATCAAATGTTGAACCTAAGTCGAATTTTCGACTGTTTCAGTCGCAGATCGGTATCAGATTTGAAACTGTCGAATTTAGTTGATTCAGACGTCCTATCTCAAAGCAGTTTCCTCTCGAATTAAATTAGGCGCATGTGAAAATCGACGATTGAGCTAGGTAATGATAATAGTGTCCAGTATTACTAAAAATACCGGTAGATACGCTATAAACTTTGCTTTCAATTTACCACATTATGTTACAAGCTATATGCACCACAAAGGTAAAAAGGAGAGTAAAAAGGAGATTTTTTATGTTGCTTCGAGGGAATTCGAACCCGGACCCTCAGAATCAGTTAGAACAAAAAGATAACGCCTCTATCCACTAGACCACCTCGGTTAACGCTCATTATTCGGGTTTAAAAGAGTTTTCAAGGATGACTTTTTCGTTTTTATTTCCGTGTAGAATTAAATCTTTAACCGATCGAAGCGAGACGTAAAGCTCACAATAAACCCATTCTCCATGCCGGGGAAAGTTTAAGAAATTTATGAACTATCGATCACGCGGCTGCCGACTGAACAGTATGACCGTACGATTTTCTCCTTGCTCGTAAGGTGTCTTTTCATTGGTCGGGGAAAACATTAACGCAACATTGCTCATCATTATTTCCACTGTTTTAGGTTAGGGTAGCAAACCATTTGGCTTTTAGGGTTGGAAGAGTTGCTGCAATAATATGACCTCTCTCCCCGGAATGAAGAAAAACAACATGGCCGCCAAATATATCCTTTTAGCTTTTGAAGTTCCCCTTTATTAAAAAACGTTAAACATTTATTTCGGCAAACAAACAGTTAGGTTGAAAAAGGATTTTACTAAAGTCTCAAGAGTAGGTCTCCTTTTCGATTTTAACTTGCAATATCGGTCAATTTACGCAACTTTTTTAAAAACTTCTGGTTCAGTTTTCCTTTGGTTCTGCTTGGAAAATGGGATTATAATTACTCAGAGACAATACAGTGTAAAGAATTGTTGAGAAAAACAGCAAAAACGTGCCAATTTATGACAAAAAGGTACTTTAAAAACGAACTAAAACATTCAAAACGCTTTGATCACGCGACTGATGACGTCAAACGACATGTCCCTCTTTAAATGATCATGAAGAACATTGCTTTGCCGCAAGTTTTCTCTGCCGTGTGATAAAAAGTTGACTCTCTCTACAGCCCTCAGTCTATTCTCCCGACTTTTTCGCTCATGTTCATTACCCGCTTAAATTTTAAATGCCGGTCGTCAACTGGTTATTTTTAAATGCCCCACATAACTAAAACCACCAAATATGCTATTTGTTTTTAACTCGTTAATGAAATCTTGTCACAACAACAAAAAACCCTAATTCCGAAATAGTCACGTGACTTATGGATGTCATTACCTTAGATATGACATGGGAAGATATTTTATGGTAAATGTTATCTTGTCGTGGTCTGACAGTCTCCTACGTATAAAATTGTCAAAGTTATAAAGCTTTTTGAAAAATTGCCTCAAAGGATTCTGGGAGAATTTTTTACGATGATTATAATTTACTTTTATAATAATTAGTATTACATTTTGTGCAACAAGGACTGTAAAAGAACGAGCAGGAGTGTATTTATCAGGTTTTAAAACTCGACGCGAAGCCGGGAGTTTTTAAATCTGATTATACACTCCTGCGAGTTTTTTGAACGGCTTCAAAATCTCTGATATAGATCAACTCATTTTGCATTTAACAAATAGATTCCATGTTGCCGTGTGTCTGTTCAGTTATAGATCACAGATGACGTCAAAATGTGGTAAAAACAATGAAGTGGCACACGAGCCGCAGGCTGATGCTTTTACCACATTTTGACGTCCTCTGTCATCTATTACTGAGCAGACCCATGACAACATGGAGTCTATTTGTTTTATACAATGGTCAGAAAAGAAAAAGACCAATACACATACCTGCCTCGTGCCGCTTGACTGTTCGAGGATTTGTGCTAGTTTAGGCATTTTTTAAGTCCCAAGCGCTACTTTTCTGTCTGCTTCTTTTTTTTGGCTTTATCTTACATGTATATAGTTTCTTCGAAAAGTTTTTCAACGTCTTTTTTTGCTCAAAGCAGAATAATGGCGAAGACATTTTGAAAACGGTGAGTCTCTCATAGCGATGAAACACGATGGCAGCTGTTTTGAAGATTTCTTGTAGTTTAAGCATTCAAAAGTAGTCAAGACCACTTTTTGCCTCCTTTTCTCCTTTTTTCTTTCTTGAAAATAGCTCCTGTTGAACTTTTTTCGAGGATTTCACTTGCTTTAATCCGAAGTGATCTCACAAGAGGGTCTGAATGGGAGGTCCACTTGTCGGTTGTCGGTTAAAATTCGGTTCCTTTGTC